TTCACCCACTCATTTATGTCTAGGTGACATAGTGGAAGAAATGCCCAAAGGCCCAGTCAGGTCAAGTCAAGGCCACAGCCAGCTTCTGGCCCAGCCCAACACCAAGACCAAAGGGGAAAACCCCATGACTGCTGATGTGTCCTGGGGAAGAAGAGGAAGAGTTAAGGAGAGAAGCTGAAAGATGCCCGTGCTTAGGAAAGAGTCTGCGTAGACTGTGGGTATAGTGTGAGATGGGGAGAGAGGAAAAGGCAAATAAAAGATGACTAATAGTTCCCAGCTTCCCCAGTTTGGGTGTGTGTCCCACAGGCTGCTGTGTGTCCATTACTGCAGCAGGGATTATGCTCCTGCTTGAGGCCATGGGTCCCACTTGGTTGTCATGCTGGCCTGTGATTGCCCCCGAATCTAGGCCATCTGTCGCTGCCCACATGGGAGGGGGGGCAGCCTTCAGGGTCTTGATTGGTCAGAATGCAGAAATTAACCAACAGATAAACTCTATTCTGACTTCTGAGGCTGCTAATGTTCCTCAGCGAACAAGCTGTGACTGGCTTGTCCAGCGCAGGACACAGAATATTGGAGGCCACACATCTAAGCTGGAGTCAAGAGAGTGAAGTTTCCTTCCAACGGTAAGGTTCAACCTCGTGCCCACACCCGGCCTGATGCTACCCTTGGGCAACTCCACGGCCTCGCACTCTTTCCACAGAACTAATCTTGACACGATCTGCTCAGGGATGCCACCCACTTCTGATGGAGGCAGCACTTTTGCCCCACAAGCAAATAGAGGCTGAGGTGGAAATTATTATTCTCTTTGACATTCACTCCCCCTCCCAGTTCGAGCCTTAAAACCCAAATGGGAGTTGCGTCTGCTTAGATGTCTCTCCTTCCCTGGCCCCAGAGATTGGTCCAGGTGGCTCGTCTGATTCAGGACATGTCAAGCAGTTCCTCCATGGGTTATGCTTTCCTAACGAGGAGGGGGAGCCTCCCCTCTGTGGAGTGAACATCTAAAGACATGAGCTGCCGCCACTGGGGCCAAGTCTCCACCATGTGCTTCAGCCATTTTGAGAGAATAAAACCTGAGGAGTGAAAAACAAAGCAAAGAGAGGAAAGGGACCATTGGAGGGCCATAGGGCCCTGTTTCCAAGCATCCCTTAGGCAATGTCCGCGTCAGCCTGGATATAGGACTCAGTGATGGGCTTCTGACTTGGACCTCTACCCAGACAGCCCTGATACCGACGCCTTTCCCCTGTCAGGTGGTCACGGGTAACTCAGTTCCCAAGTGTTTCTGGCGCTGTTAGGTCCAGCTCTTCATCATGTTACCCCTGCCTTTTCCCGTGTGGCCCCCTGGAGCCTCTCCACTCATGTGCACCCAGCTCCCCGCTGTTACTGTTCCAGGCACCTCCAACCCCCAGCCTTCCCAGCGCTCTACCGCTGCCCTACCACCTAGCTTACCTCCCGGAACTCCATTCCCCTTCCCGTTTACTCGTTCCCTTCTGTTTGCCCGGACATATATGGGTTTCTTCAGAAAGACTGTAGATTCCTTTGAGGTCAAGAATCTCTTTATCCCAACTCTTGTTGCCTAGTATTACAGTTCACACACAATAGGCCCCCCATAAATATTTGCTAAATAAATCAAACAAGAATCCCCATCTCTTTGACAGATCATCCTTGACCAGTGGGAAGAAAATGAATAAATTCTCTTTTATCCCTTTGCTAGAGTAGTTCGCAATGCTCACCGTTTCACAGGATGCCCTAACCCCCTCTCTGTGTATTTAATGTCAATACTGTATCATCACTGTCCTGTGAAGTGATGGCTGGGTGGGCGGTGGGGGGCGGGGAGCTTTGGTGTTCCCATGTTCATCCTGGGTAATGATGACCATGGCAGGCAACACACATATGTGTATAATCTGAGTTAAAGCCTGGTGTTACCATTCCATTTGCACCTCTTCCTGCAGAGAAATTAGGGAATCTCCTTGCTAGAGTATTTATATTTGATTTGGGTAACCGATAAATTTAACTTTTTTAGCAAATGCTTGTAGGACACTCCCTAAATGCCAGAGACTGTTCTGAACACTTAAGCTGTATTAAATCGTTCCTCCTCATGATAGCCTTGCCAAGCAGATATAATTGTTTCCATCAACCTCATTTTGCAGGTGAGGAAATGGGGACACAATGATTAAGGGACTTGCTCAAGATCACACAGTGATTGGGTGGTGAAGCTGGAATTGGAAGTAGGCAGGCTGGTTCCGGAACCCATGTCCTAATTGCTGTACCCTGCCGCCTCTCATTGTGATCTGGGCAAGTTCTACCCTGCACATCTGCGCCCTTGGAATTTGAGTTGTCTTTCTCAATCTCCAGGCCCCTTGAGAACAGGAGGGCTCTTTGGTCTGAGCTACCTAGCAACATGCTGATGTGTGCTTAATCAGTGGAGTCATTGATTTATTACCTATGGCTTGCATACAGGTTTATTTATGTTATTCTATGCAGTTAATTGTTCACATTGTAATCAACGCCAGTCCTGAAATTTGGCTCCTCAAAATATATTTTCAAACAACCTAGGAACCAAGCCAAGAATTAACTCTAATTACACATTGTACCAGTTTTGAGTACTGGAGATGACTCGAAGGCAAAATATGTGTTATTTAAAATTACTAAACAGATAGTAAATAAAATGTGATTTTACCCAACAGCGAGATAAAGTTGCATGTCCTTCTTTTTCTACTGCCCTTTCAGTAGGTGTCAAAGATCATGGGGGACTTTTTTCCTCATGACTTCTAGACTTTTTCTTGAATTAATACATAATTTTTAGCTGCCCATAAGCCACCACTTGCTGTTCAGCAAAAAAAGAACCATATTCAAACCCCTCTTTGTGGGTTCACCTCCAATAAAGAGAACAAACACGAAAAACACAAGGGGGAGAACTGTTTATTTGATGCAGAGGTTATTCATAATACAGTGTGGGGTACTTTTTGGAGCCAATTCTAGTTGCTTCAGGGTATTTCTAAATTGAATTCCAGGAGTAAAGGGTTTATAAATAGTAAGCATAAAAAGCAGATGCATTCATCCCAGCCACTTCCTTATGTAGTCCTAATGGCTTCCCTTGGAACTATTAACTCCTTTGGCTAGTTAATTGGTTAACTAGTTAAGTTGGTGGTGCTCAACCCTATCAGACCCAACACCTTGTTTTATAATAAATTTTTTAACCCCATTTATAATCCTTACATGAAATTCATAAATAATAAAATCTACATATGCAAGATTTCAACTATAAATATAATGCCTTAACAGTGATTAAAAGAGAAATAAAAAGAAAGTAATTTATAATTATAGAGTAACCATTTTAATGTGTAAATGCTGTGGTAGTATTGCGATAAGAGAAATAATAAAGTCTTCACAGACATTTGCACCTGATGTTGATTCATCATAATGTAATATGTAAAATAATATATGATATACAATATATGTAAGAGCAATATAGACTGATCCAGATGTGCTGTATTGATGATTCAAAAATCATGAACAGCATTGTGGACAATGATACCATTTTCCAAACTTATAAACAAGTCTTGGTAAAATTTCTAATGATGTATCATCTTCCCTCGATTTACATGGTAGTTATGCAAGTAGAAAATGTGTCATATATCCAAACAGTACAAGCTGCTTAGTGCTTATATGTAAATGGAGTTAGCATCTTGGCTCAGGTCACGATAGGCAAGTTTTCACCTATGTAAATGTGTAGTGAGACATTCAGTAGTTTGCAGGACATATGGAATTGCTTTGTTACGCAGAGCTATCCTAAGCACTGTACTCTTCTAGCCTTTCTAGCCCTGCCCTCTAAATGCCAGCAATGTCCCCCAAGCTCGTGTTATTAAAGAACAACCATGAATGTCCCCAAATGCACTCTACTGGGTGATATCACCCACACTGACAAACCCTGGGTTAGTTCCCAACATTAGCCCCAAATCATAATTATGTCAATTTATTCTGCTGACTTTTTCTGGTTCTTGAAAACCAAAGGCATGTCTACAGTAAAATCTTTAATCCTTGGGTTAGTTTTGAGACTGAGTTCCATGGGAACAAGGGCTCAAGTTCACCCAGGACGCACGATATCTAGTACCCAACACAATCCTGGGCTTCACTAAGTCTAGCTCAAATAATTTTGAGTAAATAATTTTGGGGCTAGACATTTGGGTTAGCCAAAAGATATGTACTATTTAAATGAAATAGTTTTGCTAACTTTCAAGTGTAGGTGACAAAACCTAGAAGCTCACAAGGGAGACTTGTAGTTAAGAATTATTTAAAAATACCATTTCAATTGTTTCCGCTTGAATGAATGACATTAAAAGGTTTGAAAACATCTGGAACCTGTCCAAGACCCAGAATCCTCATGTCATTTTGAGTAGGGAAAGGGGGCATGTTGAGGACCCCATGGGAGCTGTGGCTTTGGCCTAAGAGGTTTGCTTCATCTTCACAGTGGTCTGGAGGCAGCCGTTATTAACCCTATTTTTACCAAAGAGGAGATTAGACTGCACAAGGCAAATAAGCTGTCCACAGTAAGCCAGTTGGGTCAAAAGCAGAACAGTGTTTGAACCCAGAACTGTCTGATTCCAGAGGTTTCGTTTTTCCCAAGACATCATGCTGCTCCTCTTTTTTAAAGTGAGGCAAATCTAAGCATCTGTCTGTTAGGTCTACATCGGAAGGACCGTGAATTACAGCTATGTGAGGTCCACCTTAATATAATTTTACTCTCTATGTAGTTGTTGTCCTGCCCACGACATCCCCCTTTCCTAGTGGTTCAGTGATTTTTACGTTGAAACCGTTCTTGGTCTGGTTCCAGCATTCAGTGTCTTGTGTGAGCTCCCGTCTGTGGGAGTCTCTGGAGGGCAGGGATGAGGTCCTCTCTGTCTCTGGGTCTCCAGTACCCAGCATGGTGCCTCTCGCACAAAGTGGATGTTCTGAGAGTGTTTGTGGAATTGATTTTAATTGAACGATGTTTCTCCTTTTAGGCCTTGGCCTTACACAATATTTCAGCGGGGCTTTGACCTGGTTTTGGGAGAACAGCCTTCTGATAAAATATTCAGGTAAGTGGCTGTCTAGGGACTTGCTTATGTATGTCTACAAGCCCTGTGACCCACTTTCCACTGAACTTTCTTTCCTGGAGATAAAGTATAACCTGGGAACCACGTTTAGCAGTTCTGCCCTCCTCGTAAGCAAAGCACAGGCCCCGCACTCTTGCCTGGTGACACCGTGGAGAACTTGGGAGGGCAGACAACTCTGTTTCAGTCCTGGCTTCCTTCCTTGCCTGCTCTGTGAACCCCCATAATTTACTTAGCCTCTTGGAGCCTCCAGTTTCCATGTCTGTTAAGTGGGGCTACGTCCCACTAGTTCTATTGCTGTGGGGAATATATGAGATAATGCAGGGAGACCCCCTGGCACAGAAGTTGCAGGCACAGAGCAGGCAATTAATGTCAGTTTCTGCTTCTCCATTTTGCATCTAATTTGCACCTTTTTCATAAAATCTTGCTCAAAATGAATCTGTCCCACCCCTGCCGCCTCCTTTTCTCAGCTCTACTTCATTATTATTTTCTTCTCCCTACCACCCTCCTAAACAAATTGGATGTGTCTGGTCCCTCCCAAATTTCTACCGACACACCTGGAATAGCACAAGCTGAAAAAGTCAACAAGCAGAGGAAGGCCTGGGTGCCGCTGTGAACTATTGGATTTTCATAAAGTTTCATTCGCACCAGGCTTTAGCTGGAATACATGTTTATTGCCAAACTAAGATCTTACCATCCATTTATTCTTTCAATCTATCCGTCACTCAGTGAATGTGCAGCACAATGTGCATCTGCTAACTACCAGCTAAGTGCCCGAGATTGCATGTGGCCTGGCAATGTGGATGTGAATATGTCTCCCTCCGCGTGCATGTCCCCAGGAAGAGGAAGTCAGCAGGGCTGCAGGAGGGTTTTGATGTCAAAGTATGCATTAAGCTAGAGCAAGGCACTATGGGAGGAATGGGGAGCAGTGTGAGGCAGATGGAAACCTCATTTCCTTTTCCCTGCACTCCTATAATACGCTGAGTCTCATGTATTCACTGCACCCTTTCCAGACCCTTCCTTCCCCAGACCCTCCCTGTCAGCCAGTCCTGGGCCTAGGTGTTCCTTTTGCTCCTGCATTTGCCACCTAGAGGTGGGTCCTCTGCCCCAGCTTCTCCTGCCCCCACCTCCCTGCTGGCTCCAGATGGACCGGGTTTGGCCCCTGCGGTGTTCTCTTAAGGTGTGCTCTTAGTAAAAGCGCAGATTTACAGAATCACTTCCTCACAGGGCCTCCCCTTGCCTTTTTCCCTCCTGAATGTTTCTCCCCAGGGAGGCTAGGTCACATTAATGGCATTGGCTGGAGGCTGCTTTTGAGGATTTGTGCTACACAAGATGTCAGCTATATTCCTTAGACTACGACTTGGGCATTTAAACTTTCCAATAGTGACTTATCATTTGGCTGACTTTTTTCTCTCGTTTTCTGATGCTGGTCTGCGAGGACCTTCGAAGGGTGATAAAGATAAGGCAAATGGAGAGCCTCGTGGAGTTTGGCTGATTAATGTGGATAAGTTTCCTCTCCCCTAAAAGTCAGAAACTAACACTTTGAAAAACAGGGACCTTAATGAAATTGCCATTAGAGCAGAACCTGCACAAGAACTGTGTTTCCATCCCCACAAGCACCATTTATTCTTTTCAAGTTTGTTAGCTGCCAACTGGATGTGATGCCCTAGCACTACCAAGGGGTCAGTTGCATGGTTTGACCCTTTCAGTCAACTATTTCGGGAGCCAGTGCAGTAATCAATCATGTTGGTCCCTAACGTGACAATAACTAGTCTCTCCGACAGATGCAGTGGGTCATGATTTACCTGTTACAGGTATTAGGAACTTTAATCGAAACCACTCTGGGATCTGAGTAAACCAACTGCCAGTGGCTATTCCGGAAAATTCTGTGACCTGGTCAGTGACCGTAATCTCTTAAAGAAGCTAAGGACTGTTTACTTGCTATTCTGCTCACCTATGGTTTAGTGTCCTGATGAATTCCAAGCCACTGCACATTTCTGACATTTGAGTCTTTCTGCTGTTGAATGTCAGTATACAAGTCTGTATTATATATTGCTCTTCTCCTCTGGAACCTTCTGTTCTTAGTCAAATCTATTCCCTACCTGATCCACTGTCCCCAGCAACTTGAAGAGTTCCTCCTCTGCACTGTGGCTCATCCTCTTTCCTCTAACAAGAATATATATTCTCCTCCTAATATAAACACTACCCATTTTCATGGTCTACACCATTGCAAGAAACTGGTTTAGATGTTTTGGATTGATCAAACAAATATGACTGAGATAGTCCCTGACTTCAAAGAATTTACAGTTTCATCCAAAAATTGTTCTCCCACCCTGGTCCTCCAGGAGAATCCCAGTCGGCTTCAGAAATGACCAGTGATCTTACCCGGCACAAACCAATTAATTGGAAAGTTCTGAGATGTGGGGCCAGGCCATAAAAGTTCTTTCAAAGCACCATGGTAATCCTGATCTCTACCCAGGTTTGAGAAACGTTGTTTCTCAAGAAACGTTGTTCTAAAGCTTCTCCAACCCACAATGACTTTCTCCCCTCCAAATATCTGTAATGTAGTGACTGTAATATTTATGTGTCAATTATTTTATCTCATGTTTATTTTTACTTGCCTATTTATTTCCCCAGTGAAATGGTTGTCTTCTTGAGGGAAAGGGTAGTACCCTATATGGCTTTAAATATTTAACATCTAACACACAATCTGGAACACAGTAGATCTCCAGTAAATATCTGTAGTTGATCATTTCAGGTGTTTCCTAAGGACTTGAAATCAGATTAATAAAGGACCTTGATACCCAACCCAGCCTCAGTAATCTGCAATCCCAAAGAAGCTGGGAAGGGCCCAGGCTAGACTCAAAGGGTCCGAGAAAGCTGAACCTCCAGCTAAGTCTTCTCAGCAAACCCAGGGTGGTCCCAGAGATGTCCTTTCTATTGTGGATAGGATCACCCCATTCCACTAGACCCTTTGGTGAAAGGGATTGGTGCAGACCAGATTTCTCTCTCAGAGACCTTCCTTCCCACATGAGTACATGTGTCACTGGGAACAACAATTCATCCTGGACTGGCCTGCTCTGGAGAAGAGTGGAGATGCCAGGCCAAGAGCTATTCATCCATTTCCTCACATTCTTTTTGATGCCAAGCCGCAGTGAGTGTATAGGCTTATTCTGTCCAGTGTTCTCTGGCAAGTGTTGACCTCTGAACAGAAGTTTTAAGCTAGTTCAACAGTGTCGTGTGCACGACTCAGGCTACAGCTGAGCCATCAACCGCAGTGGTCACCACCAGCTGTCACGAGAGAAGGCCCAACTTGGGAAAGCATTCCAGATGCTCTCCCAATTTCTCTTTGGTGGCTTTTTGAAGTCACTCCTGCCAAATCTGTATGAATGAGGGACAGATGAGATTTCAGGACACAGCTTTTTCTCTGACAGTTTGTTCTATATTTGGTTTTTGGAGTTACTCAGTAAATTTTGCAGAGGAAAGAAAACTTTAGAATCTCATAGGCATGAGCCAGTATGGGCTGGAAAGCTCTGTGAGCCTTACTTGGGTACACCAAACCCCATCTTTCCTACGGAGAGGTGACCTTTGGGAGGTTGCTAAGCTCCTTACAATCTTAATTGACAAATCAGTGAAATGGAGCCAAGTGACCAACCTCAGAGGACTGTTGTGAGGATAAATGGAGCAGCTCTACGGAGCACCTGTCATGGTGAGATTTCTCAAGTGAGGTTAGTCTCAGCCACACCTGACTGCTTCCTCGGCAGGTTTCACCTTGGCCCTACCAGGGATTGAAGATCACACTGTTTTTTCTTGCTAATGTGGTCCAGCGTTATGTCTCAGAAACTACTGGGCACTTTGCGAATTCCTCACGACGTGAAACCCAGATCCTTCTTGACCACTAAATCCATTCAAACCCAGAGATTAAGCCCTGTCCTGCTCTAAATGAAGGATAATCTTCACCATCACTTCTACTTTTAAATTTGAAAATGGAGATTATATCCCCCTGTAGACTGTGCAAACTAGAGAACATAACTAAATCTCCTTATTGATCAGTCAATAAATACTTATGGAGTGACCCCCACCCCTTGGGCCAAAAATTTGTGTTAGGCAATGGGAAAACAAAGATGCCATCCAAGAGAGCACATTCTTCTGAGTGGTGACAGACAAAGGAAAAGGTGGGCACAATTCAACATCTCCAGGGCAGCCAGGGGCCATGTGTGGGCACAGAGGAGCGTCCATTTCTCAGCCTGAAGTTGAGCCTGAAGATCCTGGAGGGCTTTCTGGAAGGGGTGGGCATTTTAACTGAGTTTTAAAATGATTGGCATCCAGCAAAGAATAAAGGGAAGCAAATTCAGAATGGATCATCAAGAGCAAAGGCAAAGAGGTGAGAAAATGAAGGTGACTTTAGGAGCTACAGTCAGCTTGCACCGTAGAAGCACAAAGTGTGAGGCAGTGTTTGGTTTAAGGAGAAGCTGAAGAAGTGGGTGGGAATGGCATCTTTGGAGATGAACACTTTGCTCTGTAGGTCTTAGATGCATTGAGCAGTGTTAGCTGGAGAAAAAGGTAGCTTTCTGTTCCCTTTGAGTTGTTGCTGCATGCAGAGGAAGGGAAAGCTGAAATGGAGGGACGTGGGACTCTCTTCCAAAAGGAAAATTAACCATCAGAAATATGCTAGAACTGCCAACTGTTTCCTAAAACCTGTTTCATAAATTATAAGCTACAGGTCCCAGATTTGTTGCTCTGCATCTGTGCAAACTTGTAATTTTGTAACCAAAATAGAAAACAGAAATTCACCTCTATGTCCAAATAAACAAATAAACTGCTTCCTCCCAGTACCATTCAAACTTGCATATGTTCCCTCGGAAACAACAGATTATTTATAATATTAGTGGTGCCCTCAGTCCAGCCTGCCTACTGTAATGTTGCCCTCAAGAATGTCCATCCTGAAATGCAGGGTCAGCACAACTACTCACATGTTGTTGCCTTCGACCCACTTCAACCCTAAGTTCCAAATTCCAAGCACTTTGGGGCAATCACGTGCCCTGAATTGGCTCTTTAATCTTGCCAGGTGAGGGAGGGTGCGTGCGTGCATGTGTGTGTGTGTGTGTGTGTGTGTGTGTGTGTGTGTGTGTGAAGGGGCTGGCAGGCCTTCAGTTTTAGCAGGTGTCCTCTTCTGTCCCCTACTAACGGGCTTCCCTCACCTGGTGCAGACCCCTCCCTGTGTCCCTGCACAGACCTAGCCCCAACTATTGCCTTCTGTCCCCAGGGCTGGGAAGAGTTGAGGGCCTCCTTCAGAGCAAGAGGCACTGTTGATATTTCAGTGCTGCTTACTGCGGAGATTTGCCCAGCAGGTCAGAGAAGTAGGGGACCAAGAGTGAGGTTGGGAATGAGGGAACCATCTCCCAAATCCTGGCCATATCCCACATGCTCAGTGGTTTTGCCTCTCCCCTAGGCACCTGCCTTCTCTTCTTTCAGCCGTTCTAGCTCCTAGGGCTGTCATTCAAGGAGTGGGTGAAAATCTCGCGAGCCTTGGTCTATGGGTATTCTCTGCAGCCAGCATTCCAGAGCACTACATTTCTCATAAAAAATCTCATGCCGTCAGTCTGGTTTCCTAGCATCTCCGGCAATCCCAGGGAGTGGAGAAGGGAGTGTGTGGGTTAAGGGAGAGGTAAGAGCGAGATTCTGAAGTGGTGCTCTGTGACCAGCATGCTGATCAAGCCAGGGCTGGGTTCTTTCTAATTGTAGGCATTCTTCAATTGTTCTCCCTCTGCATTAAAGTTGGAAGGGGCCGCCAGACTGCCACAGCCTTGTGATATCCCACCCACACTGGCTTTTATCCCATAGACTGTTTTTGACTGTGAACACAGAGTATTTGAATGCCTTTGAAATAGAATGAATGAATAAATAAACAAATAATCTTTCATGGTTTTCTTAAGCTCTCCCTTGAAATGCTGATTGATTCTTTTATTCCTTTTAGCCCCTGTTATAAGAATTAAAAAAAAAAAAAAAAAAACACAACACAATCTCCCCTGCCTCCCAAGGGTTACAGACATTAGCTGAGGGTGTGGGTAGGAGTTCGGAGAATACATCCAGGCTTGTTCTGTTCATCCTCTTCTCCTCTCCCTGGGGCTCCTGGCTTAAGCTGTTTCTCTGTGCATCACACAACAACCAGAACGCGGGGAGCTTCTCACTTCCTTTCCCCTGGTAGGGTTTCTCCAGGCACAGAGAGCAACCACCACTACCACTGAGTATGTAATCTGAGGGATGGGGATGGTGGGAGGCCAGCCTGTCGCTTCAATCAAAATTCTTCCAGTTATATCTGACTTAGGATTGAGGAAGCCCAGCTTCACATCTGAAGGAAACTGGAATTGGATTTCCTAGGGCTTGGTAAAAACCACTTCCAACAACTGGTGAGTGGGTGCCACCATCAGTTCTCCCAGATGGCCGGACAGGTGCGCAGGAGTAGGCCTCCCTGCCTCCCTCGGGCTCAGTCGTCTTGTCCACAGAATGGCCGTCAGCTCCCTTTTCTGAAGAGGCGGCGAGGGCTGAGAAGGAAGCCTGTGACAGCAGAAGGCTCAGTCCTCCTGTGGGCTGCTGGTCCCCCCCGCCGTAACCACCTGGTATTGGGTGTCCCTGCAGATTCACCTACACCCTTGGGGAGGGCATGTGGCTGCCCCTCAGCAAGAGCTTTGTGATCCCACCGGCTGAACTGGCCATTAACCCTTCCGCGAAGTGTAAGACGGACATGACAGTGATGGAGGACGCTGTGGAGGTCAGGTGCGTCTGGGCCCAGGGAGCCGAGGCCACACTTGGCGTGGGGAGCTGAGTGAGGAACTACCTGAAGGCCCAAGGAGCTAGGGAAGGAATCACAACAAGCTGAAAGGGGAAGTTGGCAAGCTGCCTTCCGATTCCCAGTACGAAGTGCCAGCATCTACTCTATCTGGGTCAATATCGCACACCCCAAGGCTCATGCTCTGGGAGAGGACATAAAATTAGAGTTTGTAAGCACTTCCCACATCCCCTAAGGACTGAGAGGCAATAAAATGTTAATTTCCTTGCCCAAGTTTAGACCTCCTTCTTTGACCAGGCATTATAGCCTTGGCTCATTTCCCAGATATGGAGAATGTCCATAATTTGTTAGTTCAAGGCTCAGAGTGTGGCTGATCTTTACTCTGTGTGAGCGAGAGCGAGACGTGACACGGTTGACTAGATAGGAACTTGGAATGTGATGCTACTTGTTACACCTGAAGTCCCTTGACTCCTCCCCCTACCCCCCCCCCCCGTGTCTCCCCACAGAGAGGAGCTGATGACCTCGTCCTCCTTTGACAGCCTGGAGGTTCTGCTGGATTCCTTTGGGCCAGTGCGGGATTGCAGCAAGGATAACGGGGGCTGCAGTAAGAACTTCCGCTGCATCTCAGACCGCAAGCTGGACTCCACTGGTTGCGTGGTATGTCCGCCCCATCAGTTGGGGTTGGGGGGGGGCACAGCGTAAGAAGTAATGCAGATACATAGATGAAAATACGTGTGAATAAAAGAGAAGGCGCCTGGCTGGCTAGCTGGTAGAACATGCGACTCTTAATCTTGAGGTTGTGAGTTCGAGCCCCATGCTGGGTGTAGAGATCACTTAAAAATAAAATCTTTAAAAAAAGATAGAAAGAAGGTAAAAAAATGATCCCTCTCTAGTTGTCAGCACTGTCTAATCTAAATTATGAATTTTCTCAGGGGACCTGGGTGGCTCAGTCGATCAAGTGGCTGACTTTTGTTTTCGGCTCAGGTCACGATCTCAGGGTTGTGAGATCAGCCCGGGGCCAGGCTCTGTGCTGGGCATGGAGCCTGCTTAAGATTCTCTCTCTCTCTCTCTCTCCTCCCCCCACCTCTCTCTAAAACAAAGAAAGAAAGAAAGAATAAGGAGCACCTGGGTGGCTCAGTCAGTTAAGCGTCTGCCTTCAGCTCAGGTCATGATCCCAGGGTCCCAGGATGGAGCCTTGCGTGGTGCAGGCTCCCTGCTCAGCGGGGAGCCTGCTTCTCCCTCTCCCTCTGCCTCTGTCCCTCCCCCCTGCTTGTGCTCTCTCTCTTTCCCACAAATAAATGAAATCTTAAAAATAAATAAATAAATAATAAAAAAATAAATTATGAATTTTCTCTTGACAGAGATGAGAAGCTAATCACCAGTCAGTTAATCAAGAAATATGGAGCCCCTACTGTGTGTACTATCACTATCCTAGGGAAATTTCATGAATTATATAGCAGGATTCTTTGTTTCCAATGTTACAATCTACTTGGTGAGGGATACTGCCAAACAATTCGAGAAGTAATTAGCTGCTGAATAGTATGACATTGACTCTGATAGGAATTCGACTGTATTGACTGTAATAGGAAATTCTACCTTTGTCTTGGGTCAAATGACTGTAGCAGGAGATTTGAGGTGAAACCTACCTAAGGCCAGAATGATGAAAGAAGTAAGTTACGCCAGGAATGGTAGAGAAAAATAAAAGTATGTCTCCTTTGAGACCCTGGCAATGAACTCCTACTTCGCCCAAGGTGATTTTCTACTTTGTTATCAGCTATGGGAACTAAAATATGGGATGCTAGGACCTAGAAAGGCCATTTGGTTGAGAGTGTGCTAAGTCGCTCCTGCACTGTGGATGAAGAGTGACTGAACCTGGCAGGTAAAGGGAGGCAGGATTGGATGAAGCCCTCAGCTGCTGGTACCTTTCCGTTGGCATGTTTGTGCCCCTCAACACTGTTGTCTGTCGCCAGCCCTCCTTTCTTTTAAGGGCGGAATGATGCAATCCTCACAGAGAGGAGAGGACAGAGAAAGAAAGCAGCAAAGCCAGGTATCAAGCGGGTGTAAAGGAGAGGGAGATCTGGTTCATGGAGACGCGTAGTTCTGCAGTGTTTCTGGGGCAGGGCCAGGAGCCTCCAGCTCAGGGAGAACACGGTGCCACCTCCCACTTCCCAGTCTAACAGCTGTGCTCCAGTAAGGGGACCTGGAGCAGGGCAAGCTGTGAGGAGGCTGGGCCAGTCCATCTTTCACACACCCCCTTCCCGGTCTCTGAGCACTTGCTCTGTTCCCGGAGCTGTGCTCCATCAAAGATGGATGAGTGCCTGGGATCCAGGGTGGGACTCTCTCAGCCCTAAGGCCTCCCCAAGCTTTCACAGATTAGGCAGCTGCTGACTGGAGCTTGATTCATCTGAGGAGGGAAAGAATAGGGAGAGAGCGGAGGGGCAGGTAGGCGGAGACCTGGCCGGTCCATCAAAGGAAGGGAAAGCGGAACAGAGGACCATCAGGAAAGGACAAAGAAAAGTGTTCTGTAGGTTCTGTCTTCCAGAGGCAGCCAGGAGGTAAGGTGATGTCCCACAGCGCTCCCCTCCCTTTGGCCGGTCCACTTTCAGATGTCTTGAACAGGGAGCTTCCCAACCAGGTCCCTCAGGAGACAATTTCACTGTCTAATGGAGCTTCCAGCTGAGACACATTTTTCCCTCCTATTCAACCTGCATTTCTTCATTCAGATTTCAACCTTTCATTCCTCACTCCTCCCTCGGGTCATTCTGAGTCCTGAAACACTGTGTGTGCACATGCGTGGATCCCTCTCCCCACCCCCCACCCCCCACCCCCCCAATCCGGCTGGTCCCGGATGAATTTGAGCGTGCTCACACCTTCATACACATGCACACATACGCTCTCCGTCTCCACCCACCTCCCTGCCCCTTTCCCGAGCCCCGAAGGGTTGCCTGTCAAGTGCCTTCTGTCGGTGATCCCAGCCCCTTTTACTTGGCATACGTAGCCTTGCTGGTGTATTTTTGTACTTTTAGCACTGTAGTCTGTGAGACGGAGCGAGCAGGAATAGTTCCGATGAATATGCATTTGCAGTAAGTCCGCTGCATTTTAGAATCGGAGCCGCTGCTGAAAGTCACCCAATTAGACCCGTGCTTGGGATTAGCATAATACTTTGAAGTCACTGGTCCACGTCGGCGGTTGGAGGAAGGAGGGGCCCACTGGCTGGCAGGCCATTCAGTTGACTTTTTCCTTGGCCATAAAGCACGTGATCCCTGAGACAGGAGGACTGATGGGGTGAGAGCTGATGTGCCATATCATGACCCTTGGGCTCGTCCTGAGAAGTAGATCAGGGGCTTCACGCTGAGCTGAGCTGGACATCAGGATGGTCCCAGAGCCCTGATGCGTTAGCAGAGCATTCCCGGGTCATCTGGAGGTGGACCAGGGACAGCAGAGGACCTGGCACCAAACTGCAGTTCGGGCGAATTGCGTTACGGTTCTCCACTCCACGGAAACCTGCCATTCCGTTAGTTCTCTGGGTGCTGAACTGAAAGCCTTCTCAGGAAAGACATGTTTTCATGAAAGGAGAAAGAGATGAGGAACTCAGAACAACCTGGCCCTTAAGGAACCTGGGAAAGTGGCAGAGATGTGGGACAAGAGGATGCACCTGTGTTGTATTTTCCTGATTGGACGCCGGCCAGGCAGGTGGGGCTGGTGCGCCCTGGCCGCTCAATCTTCATTCTTTCGAGGAAGGCAGGACACGTCTCTCGGTCATGCACGGACACCCACAGGGTTAATTGCTACCCGGTTAATTGCCCTATTGTTTCTGTTGTCTCTGAGGGCAGGAGACAGATGGCCCATGAAAGGCACAGACCTGTAGAAGCCACGGTCACTCTGTTCCAAACCAGACCACCCTCCCAAAGCAGGGGCTGGTGAATTGTTGGGAGGGTTTCCAGAGCAGAGGTCAGCCACCCACTGCTGATACCCCGGGTCTTACTTCTACCCATTGTCCTCACTGTGCCACGGTGGGAAGCAGGAGTCCCTCGCTGGAAAGTACAAAAGCAGGGGCTCTGTGATCTGTGAAGTCCCATAAGGTCCTGCAGCGCTACTGTATCAGTGTCGTGTTGCTGTTGTAACAAGTGACCACGGGTTTTGAGTGTTTTCAAGACTACGCATTTATTATCTTACAGCTCTGTGGGTGAGAATCCAACACGCGTCTCACTGGGCTAAACTCAAGTGTTGGCGGAGCTGTGTCCCTTTCTGGAGGCTCCAGGGGAGAACCCCTTGCCCCGTCTTTTCTAGCTTCTAGAGTCCGCCTGCAGGTTTTGGCTCATGGTCCCCTTCTTGCATCTTTAAAGCCAACGACATTGCGTTTTTCTGGCCGTTCTTCCGTAGCGCATGCTCTCTGATCTTCTGCTTCCCTCGTCCACTTTTAAGGACTCTTGTGATTACATTGGGTCCACCTGGATAATCTAGGATAATCTCCCCATCTCAACCTGACTTGCAAAGCCCCTTCTCTCATGTAAGGGGACATGTTCATGGGCTCTGGAGGTCATACTGCTGACATCCTTGGGAGCCACGGGTGGGAGATGGCATTGGGATTGGAACAGACTTGCTAGGCAGGATGCTGGTCCCCGCTCCCAGCTTGAACCAGGGCATCCTCATTCTCATCAAGCCTATCTGTTGAGGTTTGAGTTAAAACTTGGAAAGTTTGAAAATTACTTCCAATGCTATAAAAAATGGAAAGCCTGTGCTCCTTCCTCATCTTCACACTCATCCTGAAAGTGGCCAAAAGATGCCTTTGCTTTGTGCGCTATCTGCATGTGCTTAGGTGAGCAGACCGTGATCTTGGAAGGCAAGAGGTCCGCTATCCCGCTTTCTTGTGTAATGAACACATGACCTTCCCTGCCAGAGCATTATGCTCTAATGAGCTTTGAATTACCCAGTGACCCTGCTGCCCTTCTGTCCACATGCTGTCCACAATGGGTTCCCACGAAATGTGTCATTTTACCTCTACTGGAACGCAGATGCGTGGAGACCATTACAGATGACCTTATCTCTTTCTCTCTGTAGGACAGTAAGCAGAAGCCTATGCCTCAGAGGCGTTCAGAGAAATGGGGGCAGGAAGCCGAAACATAAATTTAATTCCATCAAACTTTCCCCTTGGGAGAAGTCCTGCATGGCTTAGGCTTGTGTGTCAGAGCCCATCAAAAAGTCAGGGAAATCATTATTTGTAAAAGGGAGATTGCCATGCGGTAAAAGGGAGCTTGTTTTGAGTAAGGGTTATGGTTGACTATCTTACGAATCATCCAGGTAAGGCAAGGCAGGCTCAGCTGAGGGAAAGTGTTCCTCTTCCTCCAGGGGCTCTGAACATGCTCACGTGTCCATCACTCATATTCATCTGCCAACAGAGCATCCGCCTCATAATCTGGAACTGAAAGGTGTGTGTCTCAGGCTTAGAGAGATTTGACTAGCCTCCTAAGTAATCAATCAACCAAAAATCATTGGTAGCAAAAGAGGGGAGATATAGTGAAGAAAAGGAGTTGAATGGGGGAAAATCATTTTAAACTCATTAGCAAATGATGCCTTAGACCAGTAATAAGTCAAGAAGCCATGAGCATCTCATGAAAGATGATTAACCTTGTGTATTTTAGGGGTCACTAAAATATGAGCTCATTTATTAGACCTTCTTGATGGGGGAGGGTTGTTGCCATAATAAATGGAGGGTTTTTTTAAGCCTGTAGTTTATAAAGGCTCTGGGACTGTGAGGGGCGCCTGGGTGGTTCAGTTGGTTAAGTGACTGCCTTCGGCTCAGGTCATGATCCTGGAGTCCCTGGATCGAGTCCCGCATCGGGCCCCCTGCTCTGCGGGGAGTCTGCTTCTCCCTCTGACCCTCCCCCCTCTCATGTTCTCTCTCCATTCTCTCTCTCTCAAATAAATAAATAAAATCTTAAAAAAAAAAAAAGGCTCTGGGACTGTGAAACGTAACCTATGCAAAGAGGGGTTAATGTATGACCTTGGGGCTCAATCCTGAGCAAACAGTTCTCTTTTAAGGAACAAGTGAAGAGATTGTCCACCAGCCAGGAGATGAGAATGGCCAACATTTGCAACGAGAAAATGTCAGCACATCCTGGAGACAGGATTTCTCTCCTGACAGCTGGGCTCTGGCTGCAAATACTTCGAAGAAGAAGGCATGGTTTGGAGCCTGTGGTTTTCTTTGTATTCAGATGCAGATTTTGAGGAGTCCAGAATGTGAACACAACGGTACAAGGAATATGTAGGTGGAAACAAAAACAAACTTACACCGTGGGAAACCTGATTGGTCAGACCCCTTGGAGAATGGGGGTACTGGTTCAACCAGGGTTGAGAAGAAAACTCTATTTTCAGTTTCAGCCTCTTTTTTCCCTGGAAATCTTTCAAAAATATTTTTCTCTGAACTGCAGACCAAGTAAGTTACAGTGCAATGAAGATAATTGCATCTTTTTCGGTGATTGAGGATCTTGTCTTGCCTTCAGGGTCATCGCTCTGGACATTTTGAGTGTTTTTGCCTTATAAATATGTGCAACCCTAATATAGTGTGTGTGTGTGTGAGAGAGAGAGAGAGAGAGAGAGAAAGACAGGGGGGAGTGAGAGAGACACAAAAGAAAGAGAAACAGGGAGAATATTAGGCTAAACCTACAAATCCATAATTGATCCCAGAATGTACTCTGGGAGTTGCTCAAAACAATCAAACAAACAACAAATCTACAGGATTGCTTTACCTGTTGACGTAGTGAATTGACTCTATTTCTTTAGGGATTCCAGTGAATCCATGTTTTCTCACACCCGAGAAGCAGCACAGCAAAGGAGAAGAGACAGACATGAGCTTTGGGGTCAAAGAGATCTAGGTCCAAAATCTGATTCTGCCATTTGCCCCCTCTGTGACCTTAAACCAGTTACTACTTAATCTAAGCTTACTCCTCTGTAAAATGAGGTGAAAGAAGTCTGTGTTGTTGCCATTGAGGATAACACATACAGATTGTCCTGCACATAGAATGGCTTAATCCCTGACAGCTGTTATTATTATTCTAGTTTTGCTCGTAACAACAACAACAACAACAAAAAGTGCATCTTGGGCAAGGCAGCTAAGCATCTTCTCTCCAAATCTCCTAAGAGAGTATAAATATCAGGTGGTCCAATTTGGCAAAGCAGTGGGCATCTAGACATCAAGGCCAGGCAAGATGCGGGTATGCCAAGCTTTGGAATTCTGGAACAAAGCCTGCTTGGGTTTCATTTGGTGAAGTCTTTGTCAGAAGTCATGCTTGATGGAGCATTGTGAAAAAAAGCAGGTGGCTAGGAAGATGGGAGTCCTGGCTGGTGTGCTAGCCGATGCAAGCATTGAAACCCCATGAGGTGGGAGGACTGGCATGGTCTCTACTTTGATGGCTCTTCTCAAGCTCTATAGAAGGGAGAAAAGAAAAACAACTCATGGCAACCAGGGCAGCCCATTTAATTCCAATCAAGCTTCCACATGCATGCCTGGGCAGTCTCACAGTGGTGAAGCCAGCCCCCTTCTGGTGGCACATCTGGCCTAACAGCTGGATGGCCAAGGAAGTGGATGGGTGGGGGCGCCAACAAAACGTGGGGGGCCATCCTCAGCCGCCTCATTTGCTTGTTTACCATCATCTGGAACATCTGGGTTTGCACCGCATGGGGCAGCCCTTGGAAGCGACTTTCAATGCCCTCACCTTCCAGCACTCCAGCTGGCTTCATGCAGAGGAAGGGGATGGACCAGCCTGGGAGCCTGGCGGGCCCACAGAGGAACCATTTGTTTGGTAAATTGCAGAATTAGTGTCATCAAACAGTGCATATCCTGCTGTGATCTTGGGGTGAGGCGAGGTGGGTTTTCCGGGGCACACCTGCGGCACCTCCAAGCTGCTAGAGCCAAAATGCTTGGCAGTCGAGAGAAAGAAGCCGCCAGGCAGCAGGGCAGGAGAGGGGGTGGGGGGGGTGGGGGTGGGGGGTAACACTGTTCCACCAAGTTTTGAGAGTCATTTTCAGTTTGGTTTTGGTTTTGGTTTTGGGGGAGTGTGTTAATTAGCTGAAAGTGTGTGTATGGAGGACATTCATTAAAAGCATGTCAGATCTAGACAGACCCCCAGCTCTGCCCCATACTAGCTGCTTGACCTTGGGCAAGCCATTAGCCCTCTTGCAGCCTGTGTGGAAGGATCAGCTCTAGTGCAGATGTGCAGGATCCGTTGAACAGGCGGAAGAAGCAGGAAGGCAAAAAATATTCTTTGACTTACTTGGTGGGCTCCAGGGCAGTGAATTCACGCATTAATTGGCAGTTTGTTAATGGTTTCCAGTTATTTGGTGAGGCTAATACGGGGTGCTGTAAGGTGAAATACCCAGAGTGCCAGTGTAATGCCCAGCTGCCACGACATGTTCAGTAAACCGTGACTGTTGTGTCAGGGGCTGATCGTGGTGTAAGCTAACGATGGGCCAGCCGAGTCCTGGCTCCCATAGCCAGCCTGCCAAGTTTCGGGTGTGGTCTTGCTGTGATCAGCTGTGGGACTTTCACAAAGTTATGTTTTCTGTGCCCACAGTTTCTTTACATGTCACATGGGGCTGATCATACTGCATACTCCAGGGGATGTTTCAGGGGCTGAATGAGTAAGACGGATGAGTGAGACCCAGTGCACGATGGGGGCTGCCGGGGAGCCCCTGCGGCTCTCCAAGCCCCTTTGTCTGCCCCAGATTCTGGCTGACATCTCTTGCTGGATCATCTTCTTTGCTGGCACTCCTGGGGAGTTTACTGAGGACATAGCAGCGCAGAGAAGCAAATTCTTTCACAATAAGAGTGTCCAGGACACTGGGCTAAAGCCCAAACCCAAGCACAGCACCCATGGGTGCTCATGTAGCAGATGGCCTTGTCTTGCGTCTTCCGCAGGGCGTCCTCGAGGCAGGGAGGTCATGAGTATGGCCACTTCTACCGGGGGAGCGGGCAAACCCCCTCCAAGGTCACAGAGAAAGTCTACTTCCTCCTAACAGCTGGAAGCCCCCGCCCTGTCCATTCCCTCCAGCCCGGTCAGCTATCTGGTACCAACGTTGGCAACGTGTTTGCATGTTAAAAAAAAAAAAAAAAAAGTCCTATTAATACTAAGTGCAAACCTTAACACTCCCTGTGCTGTTCCATTCCGGCCGCTGCCTCCACCCAGTTGGGAGGCCAGCACACCTCACTCTGTCTTGCTGTGACGTTCCCTTCCAGCTTGTAGGGAGGCAGTGACTTTAATGCAAATGTGTGTGAGATCTGTGCCCAGAGAGAAGCGAGATGTCAAAAAGGTCACTTGCTTTTAAAGGGAGTCCGGCATAGCGGGGAACTCGTGCATTAGTTGCCACCGTTAATGGTTTCAAGGCTGAGCACTAAAAATAGGCGTCAGTGGTTACGGTTCCCCGGGAACCCAGTCCCCTGATTCACCTCCCTGCGTGGATGCTTTCTGATTGTGCCAGTGCCCGTCCGGACTGAGCCCCATGAAGGACAGCTCTGGCTGCTATGACCGCCACATTGGGGTGGACTGCTCAGACGGCTTCAACGGCGGCTGCGAGCAGCTGTGTCTCCAGCAGATGGCGCCCTTCCCGGACGACCCCGCCTTGTACAACATCCTCATGTTCTGTGGGTGAGTTGAGCGGCCGGGAGGCCAGCCAGCTTGCTGGGACGCTGGACATTCAGCGTTAAAACCAGGAAAGAAAATCTAAAAGAACAGGTCCCCCTCGGCCGGCCCTGAGGCTCTGAGGAAAGAGCCTGCGGGACTGGAAGGGCAGCACTTTTAAATTAAATCAGAGTTGGGAGGACCTTTGGGGAAAGTCTAGCCCCATCCCTGTGGGAGAGGAACCTGACCACAGTCATTGCTTGCATACACCAGAATTTTCCAGGCTGTGTTCTGTGGAACTATGTTAATGTGTTTTGTGACGAGAGGATTCCAGGGTCCAAAAGCGTGGGAAAGGTTGTGTAAAACTAATTAATTATCGAAGAAGGGGAGGGGGAAATCTTTGGAGGAGGGGAAACGCCATCGAATTCTGCCCCTGAAGGCCCACCGTCCCACAGACATATTAATTCCTCAGCGCAGTTCCTCCACAGTGGGGTTAAGTGGCTCCCTCAAGACTGGGAGCTGGCTGAGGCTCCTGGGTGGCTCAGTAGCTAAGCATCTGCCTTCGGCTCAGGTCATGATCCCAGGGTCCTGGGATCGAGCCCCACATGGGGCTCCCTGCTCAGTGAGGAGCCTGCCACTCCCCCTGCTTGTGCTCTCTCTGTCCTGTCAAATAAATAAAATTAAAAAAAAAAAAAGACTGGGAGCTGGTAAGTGGAAAGATTAGGATTAGAATTCAGGCCCTCTCTGTGTTTTTTTTTTAAATTCTGTGGTTCCCTCAAAATTTAAATTTACACCACTGACTAGAATTATATTTAAAGACCATTTCATGTTATATTTATAAAGTAAATAACACTCATAGTTTGCTTGTCTGTCCTTCCCTCCCCTTTCCTTCCTCCTTCCCTTCTGCTCTCCCCCCACTCCTTCCCTGCCCCCCTCCTCCCCCACCTCTGTCTTCCTGCCTGTCAGGGAGGGTACATACTTTATGCCACAAACCATGTCAGCCACTGGGCAGCACAGATGAATGACGTGCAGTTCTTGCCCTCAAGGATCTCCTACTCTAAGAGGCTTGCAGTGAAAATCAATGTTTATAATAACACAGCTTTGCTATATTAGCTCTGTCGCTAAAAGCCAGTGCCTACTGAATAATCATGACAAGATTATTGGGTGGAGTGGTAAAGTTATTTTATTGTACTTCATTGTATTTTATTTCTTTTCAGTTGACAGCTTTTACCCTCAGTTTCTTGTAAAATCCCATTCCATAAATGGAAGCTTGATCTAAATCTTAATGTCTCTATGATGTTATCGTGATGGTTGACCCACTTGACTTAATAGAGATAAATTCATAAATTCTTTAATAAACATACATTTTTTTATTTTTTATTTTTTTAATTTTTAAAAAAGATTTTTTTTATTTATTTATTAGAGAGCGAGCGAGAGAGAAACAGCATGAGAGAGGAGAGGATTAGAGGGAGAAGCAGGCTCCCTGCTGAGCCGGGAGCCCAATGTGGGACTCGATCCCAGGACCCTGGGATCATGACCTGAGCTGAAGGCAGTCGCTTAACCAACTGAGCCACCCAGGCGCCCAATAAACATACATTTGAGCACCTGGTTTGTGCAGAGAATCTAGTTAGCTGTTAGATATGGGAGAGACAGCAGGAGCTGAGCCTGGCCTCTGCCCTCAAAGGAGTTTACAGTGGGACACACACAAGAATAGCAAGAAGAATGGGGGTGTGGGGCAACGTGGAAGGGGGAGCTGTCGGGACGCTCAGGAGGGACTGAGAGGGAATCATTCAGCTTCACAGTTCTTTCCAGAAACAGTAAGTTAGGGCTCCAGGAAGGAGCCACTTCACTGTCTTGTCCCAGACCTAGGCTGGTGCCATAGAGTCCTTTGTGGATCTCCCATCAAACCTGTGGCCTGTACTAATGCGGTAGGTTCCTAACTGGAATTTCTTGCTTATTTCAGTTGGAATTCAGTATGTGTGGGAATTTAGCACACTCCAAGCCACTGTCGATAGCCTGCCAAAAGACTTCCTTCACATTTTTATGTTAAGCCGAAATCACCTGCACTTAATAATTAAAGGCCTCACACCGGTTAACACAAATATGTAAGTGGTAAATGGGTAATACAAAGAAAGTTTTGGTAACATGGGCCTCATTTGTCCCTCTGCTGGTAATAATGATAGGATTTGATGAGTATTTGCTCTTTGCTGGGGACACTGTAAGGTCTCTAAGTTCGTTGTCTCATGTGATCTTCTCAACAACCCTTCAGAGCAGCTCTTTTCCCCCACTTTTTACAGATGTGGAAACTGAAACTCAGAGAGTTTCATCAGCTGACCCGAGGTCACCCAGTAAAGGGCAAAATCACTGCTTCTCCCCACTTAACACTAAGATTATTGGTTCCTCCATATAGAACAGAGGTCTTTATCTTGTTACAACAATTACCATGGATAGTAATAAACGATGTGTTTTAATGTCATGAGCATCTATAAATTCTAAATCTGGTATAGTTTAAGGAAAGACCCACATGAAATTAATATGCTTTTTAAATGACAGGTTTATCAAAATAGTTCTTGAACTAACAAATTATATTCTTCTCAATATAACTACAAATAAGGTCCAGTTAATGACTTATAGGTCATTGAGCCATGTTTACCAACATCAGTATTGCTCTTCCATTAGAGTAACTGTACATGCTTAATGGGGAGGGACGCCAAGGAGGTGTTCACACGGCGTGCCCTAGTGTCTGTTTAGTTCAGGAAGGCTACTCTGAATGGAGGGGGAGTTAATCTGGGATGATCTTGGGCTTGGACACATTCAAACAGAACACAGTCAGAAGATGATCAGTCTTTCTAATTTTTTAGTTGACTTGTCACAGGACTGGATTAGCAGGTTATTAATTTCTTAAGCACAGTGTCATTCCTCTTGCTGCCTAATTACCCACCAGACAAATGCAGGGTCTGGCCACATAGATGGTCCTCGAGAAAGGTTCTAGAATATCTCAGGTTTAAATGTGGTGACTTGCTTAGAAGCTTATCTCCAGGGACTCTTACCCTGACCTATCTAGGAGAGGATCCACTTAGAGGAGAAAGCACTCTAAAGCTCTGAAAGCACTTATCTGCAAAGGAAAGGTGAGAGGTTCTGTACAGTCACATAATGGAAAGAGACTTGGTTTGTAGGCTTAAGAAACTGAGTCCTAAAGGGGACAAAATCAAACTGGGATACTCATCATCTTTACCACCCAGCACTCTCCCAGAGGCATTTCTTCCCAATCTGTTGGGTTGGGTTGACTGCATAGCTCATTGATGGAACAACTTTTTATCTTGAGTTTCCTACTGTGTTAGGTGCATCGAGGATTACAAGCTCGGTTTGGATGGTCGCTCTTGCCAACTCATCGTGGAGACCTGCCCGGAGGGAGGAGACTGTGGGGAAAGCAGGGAGGTTCCCATGAACCAGACCCTCTTTGGGGAGATGTTCTTTGGTTACAACAACCATTCCAAGGAAGTGGCTGCAGGACAAGTGCTGAAAGGAACATTCAGGTGAATCTCATGTCTATGGAACTGGTTACTCAGGGATACTGATGGATCTTCTTCCCTGAAGAGCTTTAAAGTCAGTGTGAAGTTTTGCACCTTGGAGCAAGGTGAACATGATCCTAAAAGGACAGGTTGAGTTCTCTCCCATGGTCTTCTCCTCTTTCTAGAACCCGGGAACCATGCTTCCTCTAGGTGAACAGTAGAGTGTTAAATAAATTTCTGTCTTGCCCAGGCAGAGACTGCAAGATTTGCCGTGGAAGCCACCAGAGAATGCTCAGGTTCTGTTTTGCTCTGTGTGGAAGAATCAGTGCGTGAGTCAGTCTAGAATAGCAGTCTCAAGTATGGGCCATGGATCCCGAGGGTCGCTGAGATCCTTTCAGGGGATATTCAAAGTCCTGCCTTTCCCAACTACAGAGAGGCTGGGTTTTCTCCATTCACATCAACCCAAACAATATCTTGCAGTAAGCTGCATGCAGAGGTGAGAATCCAGCTGTCTTCTATTAAGTCAGACATTTAAAAAATTTGCAAAAAATATTTTAAAAACGCCACTCTTCTCATCATTTTTCATAATATGTTCAGATTTAGTGGGTTGATTATTGTCATTTTTAGTTGGATTAATACATATTTCTAAAATTTCTCTTTCAATTTCCAATATGGTAAATATGGACAGATATAATCCACACAAACAAAAGCTACTTGGAGCTTTCATTTACTTTTAAAACTTTTATAAAGGGGTCCTGAGAACAAAATGTTTGGAACCATTGATTTAGAATATTTCTTGGAAATTCTCCATTTGACCCCTGTTCCTATTCTCTCTTAGGCTATTAGAGTACATCTTCCTGAGAAATCATGCTTTCCAGGAGATAATGATGATGAGGGAGAAGAGGAGGAGGGAGGGAGTGGGGAGGAGGAGGAGAATGTCATAATATGGGCCAGCAATTGATAGCAACCTAGGCCTGGACTCCTACGAGCAAACGAGTAGTAAGTATCCAAACCTGTTCTTGAAGTCAGTTGCTGTTTCTGTTACAGACAGTGGGCTTTATTAATATTTCCCCTTTTAGGTTGGGATTTCATTTGCCAGTGGCAAGCAGTAAGGTGTCATAGCTAATCTTGTGGTGGCTAGAATCTTCTCTATAGTCTAGAAATGAGACTGAGTCTGCCTAGATCTTGTGCAGTGGGGATCGGGGAATAGGGCCTGGGATGGGAGGGAGGGAAGAATGTTCTCGATCTTCTGAGTAGACCTTTTCAGCTGATTTCTTTCTCTTCTGTCCTAGCCCTCACCCTACCTCTCACACCCTGTCCTGCTCCAGACATGTCCATCAAGTGGGGTTCAGTTCCCAAGGAGGGGAACCTTTTGGTCCAGGAAGAATTTTTTTTTATTGTAGGTTGAGATATAGATTGCCCACCGAGGAGTGAGGTTCACCTTAACACTCAGAAATGGAAATCTGCTTCTGTTTCCAGGCAAAACAACTTTGCTCGAGGTTTAGACCAGCAACTGCCAGATGGTCTTGTGGTGGCCACTGTCCCCCTGGAGAATCAGTGCCTGGAGGAAATCTCGGAGCCCACCCCCGACCCCGAGTTCCTGACTGGTGAGTGTGCCTCCTGCCCTTACTCATCTGGTAAAAACCAGGCAGCTCCCAACAGTTTCATAATCTCAAAACTCTTGACCTCTCTTGTTTTCATTTTGAAGCCAATGATTTCCTTGATACACAATAAAAGCTCAATTCTAAAACACTCTAGTAGGATTATTTGTCAGTGAAATTGCCAAGATTATTATATAATCATCTGCAAAAGTGGTCTAATAATACCTTTCCCCGCTAGTCTTATTGGGATGCTTTGAAAACAGATGGCATAATAGATGGGTAGAAGTTCAGAGGTCTCAGTGGATTAAGGGGAGTAGAGTCAGAGAGAAGGTGGACGGCTACCATCACCTAGATATCTGTCACTGGGGCCATTGGGTTCCCTGGCAGGTACTTATGGAGAAAATGACAGAGATTTGTTGTCAAATGACCCTGCCTTTGAGTCATGGCTCTGCTGCTTTCTAGTTGTGTGACCTTAGACAATGCAGTCTCTTGGGGGCTCATGGCTCTCGTCACAAGTTGGAGATAATGCCCCTCAATGCTGTTTGAGCCCAGTGACATTCTTGCCCTGGGATCATTATGGAATTAAGGTATGGGTTGATTAGAAGAGGCAGGAGCCTCTAAAGACCACCCCCCGCCCACCCATTAACGCCTCCTGGACCAAACAAGACACTTCAGAGGGTCCGATGGACCCATAAGGGACAGCCAACCAGGAACTCAGCATCACTTGCTAGAAAGTTGGATGTGAGCTCAGCTCCACTGCTGGTTTGTTCATTTCTCCATTACTTCTCTTCTTTCCTCATTCCATGTCTCCTTTAACCTATGCCTTTCTGTCCTTTTTCTTTCCTTTTCAGAAGAATAGATTGTGCTGAGGACAAGCCTTTTCAAGATATCAAGTTATGTTTAAAACTTTATTTTAGACCTGAGCCAGATTAGAAGTAGGTCTGTCTGAGGGAGTATTGTGTAGCAATCACATAGACTCTGGAGCCTGACACCTGGCTCAACTCTTCACTGGCTGTGTGATCTTGGACAAGTTGCCTACCTTCACTGTGCCTCAATATTTTTACCTGTGAAAATGAATATAAAACTGTCTTCCTTATAGGATGGATACAAGGAATAAATAAATTAATATTTGTAAAGTTTTTAGAATAGTTCCTGATGCATAGTGGGATCTATGTTTGTTAAATAAATAAGTGTATCAGGGAAGGAAAAGAACATGAGCATTCAAAAACTACCAAATAGTGTTTTTCCTATAGAAACAGAGGGAGTAAGAGAGAAAACAACTTAAATATATTCTGGACCAGAAACAAATGTCATCAGAATCAGTTGCTGTCTGAAAGATGACACACTCACACAGACAAACACCCTGAATGGAAAAAATTAAAATGCAGCCTTTGGACATATGTCTAAAGCTTCTATCTCTAGTGTTAGAGAATCTAATTTTCTTGTTTCCACATCGTTTGCTGAGGAATACTTCCTGTGTGTGTGTAAAATATATATAAAGGGAAGTGTGATGTGACACACACAAATAGGACAGGTTCCACACCAGAGATATGTGTCTTCTGTTTAAAGATCCACCAAGATCTCACACGTAATAATTTATTGTGGAGGTGAGGAGATTTTACTTCAGTCGCTAGGCTGGGAGGACATAGAGTTGTCCTGGATGTTACCTGAGGCTTTTTTGGAGGAGTGCATGGCTAGATCTGAGAGACATCAGAAGACCACGTTTGAATCTACATCTTTGGAAATAAGGAACAAATCCAAACCGGGTCCTCGTCCACAACAGAAATTTCTTTCTCCCCAGTGCCCTTGGACCTCTCCTAATTTGGCATATTGGAGGTAAAAGGAGTAGAAGGATGTCCATATGGGTCACTTCCATTTTTCATGGCCTTGAGAAAGTCAAGTCTAACATTTGATGTACAAAGGCTCAGTCTTGTTTTTTTTTTTTTTTTTCTTAAAGCCCAGAATGACTAGAAGAATTAAAGAGATGGTTGACCAAATTTCTCCCATATTAACTTTCTAGTTCTGGTAACATTTTAATTGTATCTTTCCTGAGAGTCACAGAGAGAATATCGTATCATGTTGCACTAAGTGCTATTATAGGTCATAATCCCCATAAACCTACAAGCTTAGAAGATTTTAGAGCTAAAGTGATCTTCAGAATCTTCAACCTCAGCATTTACAAGCATGGTGGTGTTTTTTTCATGAAAAACCAGTGCTCCACCCATAAATAGGTTCTTTCTTTAAATACATTTGGAAAGACTATAGTATCTACCTCTCAGCAATTTGCAATACCTTAGCTTAGAGAGACAGGTCCCCAGCAGCCCTATAGTGAAGAACTCCCTTCTACTTCACTTGACCCAGCAATTCCCAAACCTGTTTAACCAGAGAATCCTTTTACACATAATAACTATTTCCATCTTTCAGAATTATTGGTTTGAAGAACATACTGGAAAATATTGATTTATGCACTTTATCTTGCTGAGTGCTGCTTCCCTCTTCATCAAAATAAGAGTTTAAGAACTCTGAGCCTCACCAGACTTTTGGGTGCGACAAGTTGTGTGGAAATAAATGAAGAGCAGTCAGATTAAAACAGGTGAAGGCTTCTTATTCAGAGCTGGCTATAGCAAAGGATTCAGCCACCATCGCTTGCATCTTGGCTGAGACTGAAGGGCAGACAGAGGAGTAGGAGAGCTTTAGAGGAAACAAGTGAGGGCTTCGGGTGTGCCCTGATTGGAGACTGTTGGCATGTAGGTGGGCCAACTAACTATGGAGGAATGAGGCATTCTAGGCAGATGTTTAGGGGTACATATTTGCCTTTCTCTGGTTGAACCTAAGTTGGAATCAAGAACACAAATCAGGAAAGCTCTCAGTGATCAATCAAGTCCTGGACATGTTGGGCCAATTTTTACAGAACATATTGTTCGGCTTCCTGGGCTGGTCACTAGAGATAGTGGTCTGACTTCTCTAAGTCTGATTTACAGACAGTAGACTAGCTCCTTGGGCTGGTTACTAGAGATGATAGGTTGGTTTCCTGGGCTTTTTGGGGCAGATTATGGGTCAGAGTTCTATTTTTATATATGGTCAGGCCATTGCCCCTTTGTATTATGAGTCTCTCAGTTGAGAAAAAGAAGACTCTGGAAGTAGACCAAGGAGGGAGAGGAGACTGCTGGCCACATTCATGGGCCAATGGATGCCATAATTGCTAAATCTATGTGAAGATTTAGAGCTCTGATCTCCCTGGAACTTCTTCAGGTTCATCACAAGAAACAGATTTTTAGAACTCTTGGGCATAATATATTTCCATGACATTTCAAATAAGGTAGCAGGAGAAACCAATCTTTCCTCCCTCCCTCCCTCCCTCCCTCCCTCCCTCCCTCCCTCCCTCCCTCCCTCCCTTCCTTCCTTCCTTCCTTCCTTCCTTCCTTCCTTCCTTCCTTCCTCCCTCCCTCCCTCCCTTCCTCTCATAGAAGTCTATTCAGTCATTCTTTTTTTTCAAGCATAGGTAGGGGAAAGCATGTTCTTTCTTGAGAAAGCAGTCAGAGATATTTTGTTTGAAAAAAGAGTCATTGAGAGATGTATTCCCAAATAATAATAAAATAAAATAAAAACTAGAGCTGATTACATGTCAAGGGCACAGTGAGAAAGAATCCTATGACCCAGCTAGAAAATATATACTTTAAAATATCCCATTCTTTTTAACTATGGACATATTATCCGTATGCAGGCTCAGATACCTCCCAAGCACTGACAGTTCTGCACCTGTCTCCCTGATTCTGGTGGAGCCGAGATGCACTCAGTAAGATTGTTGTTCTGTGACTAAGCAATGGGGCTCAGTTGCTTGGCTCATTTTGGATGAACATGGGACACCGTAATCCCTTCCTATCCCCTTACATCCCTGCCTTCTTTATTTTTTCTTCACTCGTTGTTCTGAACTAAAGCCCAAGAATTTATAACAAAGGCATCTAGGAAGAAATGGCCAGTGTACACAATTAGGGGTGATGAGGCGGTGACAATTATAGAAGCCGTGCATGTACACGATGCTTTATTTTTTTCTCAGTGTAGTTTCATGCCCAGAACTTTACTGGGTTCTGGCAACCTACCTGTGAAGCAGGTAAGATGAATACCAGTATCGCCACTTTTCAGATAGGAGAACAGAAACTTAGGAGTTGCCGGGCCCAAAGTCACAGAGCTGGTCGGAAACTCAGGATTGAAGAGGAGGCAAGAGGTCACCTTAGCTAAGCCTCTCACCTGACAGCTGAAGTCCCTGGCAACCAAAAGGTCCGGCAGCCAGGTAGCCAGAGAGGAAGTCAGCCCGGGGCTGGCAGCAGAAACTGCCCCCCAGCAACACGGCTGGTGTTAGAACTCTGGCCTCCTGGTTTCCCGCCCATTTCTTTTCCCACTAGGAAACAACTCCATTAAAGGGAATGTTTTCCAGTATACTGAAAAGTCTTCATTGATTGGGCTTGCTATTTTTTTTTTATTAATAGACTTTTTGAAATAACAGCAAGCTGGTGAGCTGACGTAACTAGAGAAGGCACGTAACGTACAATGGTTCCACAAAGCATTTACGCCCTAATGAAACGTGCCTTGGAGGTATGTGACTGGGGTGTTAATCCTGTAAAGTTCGAATTTCATTTATATGCTTTTAAAATTAACCTAAAGGTGAAAAACCAGAGTATGTAGTAGTATAACTGTTGTCAAAAAGCTTAATGCCCTGAAAGAAGAACATTTGAAAGAAAAAAGGTACTGAAAACCTTGTTTTAGTTTCAAGTAACTTACCTTTGATAGCCCAAGATGAAATTTAAGCAATCGATTCCCTAAGCACCCCTTCTGACCCTTTTGCTTTTTGCCTAACCGGTAATTATTCCTGTATGATTCACACTGAAATGGAAATTTGGCAGTTACTCAACTAATTTGATCAGAGTTGAAAAGCAGCTAATTAATCCCGCCCCCTCTTCATCCAGTTTATGTATTAAATTTGTTGATTTAGCCTGAAGGAGGCATGGGTCACAATGGCAGGATAATTCAGTAGGTATGTATTATTGCCATTATATTTATACACATTATACACATAATATTTATACACAGTATCTATCTAAAGTTTCTATACATATTGCCATTCTATTTACAGATATACGTATATATGCACTTACACACATGCATACCCATATATATTTATTCCTCTAACTTACACACATAGCAAACGTTAGGCATAGAAATGAAGCTAAAATTAGTTTTCTAAGCTTAGCAAGGTGATTTTTTTTTATTCCTTGTGGTCTAATTATTTTGTTTCTGTAGCATTTTATATTTATAGTAATACTAGAATTCAAACAGGACGCCACTCTTTCTCCACAGTGCTCAAGCAGGAATAGCCCATTTTAGCATGTCTAAGCGGCTACAAGGATGTGCTTGTTGAGAATGACTTTGGACAAGTACCTTGGCTTCTCAGTTCTCCCATTGGTAAAAGGGAAACCACAAATAAAGTGTGTATTACAGTGTCTGGCACATAGATGGCTGTCCCTACAGGGCCACCCTGCTCCTTAATGACTGAGTCACACTGACCCTCTCCGTCCTGGTGAGGAAGAAATCAGCATTATCAGCTTCAGAGTAATTAAAACTTAAATACTGAACACAAATCAGTTAAACGGGACAGAAAAATCAATGTTATCAGGTACGTGAGCTGAGTCAATTACTATAGCTATTAAAGAGAGTAAAACTCGCATGTGTTACAGTAAGCCTAGAGTTTCATATAAATTTACTAAGGGAATATTATAGAATGGTTAGGAACCCCGCCCTGTCTCAGATACATCTGGAACTCCATCCTGGCTCCACCTGGTGGCCTGGGGCCCTCAAGCAAACACCCTCTCTGGACCCCAGCGTCCCCGTTTATGAAGTGCAAATCGTAACACCTATCTTGCAATGATCAAATGACTTCTTAGCAAAATGTCTGCCACAGGGAAAGGATTCAATAAGTGAGAGCTGTCACTGTGATTCCAGAAATTCTCTCCATCAAAGAACGCTTTCTCGTTTTCTCACAATGACACCTGCTAACCCGGTAGACTTGGGACCTGTGAATCAATCGTGCACACTGAGCCCGCGTCTCCTCTGTCCCCAGGAATGGTGAACTTCAGTGAGGTGTCTGGATACCCCGTGTTGCAGCACTGGAAGGTCCGGTCTGTGATGTACCACATCAAACTCAACCAAGTGGCCGTCTCTCAGGGTGAGCACGGCAGCAAGCCGTCCCTCCCCCTGTTCCTGGGGCGTGAAGAGCCTTTCCAAGGGCACAAGCCTTTTATCCCATTGTTGCAGATACAGTCGAAAATGTAGCCACTTCGTGAGATACAGGACCTAGTCACTCAGATTCACCCTTAAGGGCAAACACCTGGAATCGGATCCTTGTCTAAAGATAGATTAAATTGCAAGTTTTATCTTGGACTATAGAAGTGATGGGAAGGGCAAGGCAGGGCCGCTGAAGATAAACACCTACCTTATCTTTCTTCCTGGGGTCACACAGTATACAGAGAGGATATGCAAAAGCAGACTTTTTTTTTTTTAAAAAAAAGATTTATTTATTTATTTGAGAGAGAGAGAGCATAAGCAGAGAGAAGGGCAGAGGGAGAGGGAGAGGCAGACTCCCCCGCTGAGCAGGGAGCCCGATGCGGGACTCGATACCAGGACCCTGAGATCATGACCTGAGCTGAAGGCAGACGCTTAACTGACCGAGCCACCCAGGTGCCCCCAAAAGCAGACTTTTTATAAATTGACAGAATAAAACCTTCCAAACGCAAAGAGCATCACTTAGAGTTTTCATACAATGAAAGAAATATGGAAGAAGAGCAAGAAAGAGGAGGGGGCGGGGAGGGGATAGAAAACAGCTTTTATGGTCCCTAAACAGCAAGTGAGCGAAAGACAGATAGATGATAGGCAAGAGAGCTAGATACCTAATAAGTTAAGGAACAGTGAATTCCAAAAACCAGGACAAATTGATCCAGAACAGTGAGGCACCTTGTACAAGTATTCTTTACATTTGAGCGGTAAATGACTTGAATCAAGTTTTTCCTAGCACTTAAGCAATCCTAATGTGCAATTTGCAGATGGGAAAATTAGTTGCTACAAATAAGGCCTTAATAGAGGTACACATCTCCATTTCAACTCATCTGCTTGGACTAGGTGAACCTTACTCAACTCCTTCCTCTGAAGCCAGCTAAGGAATGTACCAGAGGGGAATTTTATACCGTAGAGTCTGGTTTCTCTGTGTTGGTTGAGAAGGTAACTAGAGCCAGATGATATTGTTGGCATGGGATGACAAGACAAGGAGAGGGATCTTCAGGTCAGCAATAGGGAGGTAGAGCCTTGGCACCAATAGGAGAAAAATAAAAATAGGGGACAGGATTATAAAGAGGAAGCAGGACATATTTAGGAAAGGTAAAGCTTTATGCATAGGGAAAGAAAATGCATTAAGGATGTAGAACATTTCCATAGGACACAAGGGCACTCAGAACTCTGTTTATTTTAACCTGAAAGAGTTCTCGGCAAGAAGGGATTGGGATGGGGAATCTTACTGAAGTAAACTCTGCTGGCACAGAAAAACCTCGAAAGAACTAAGCAGCTCCTCATTCTAGGAAAATGTAGCAGTGGAGACTCTGCCCTGTTCGCATGCTGAGCCTGCTCCCGGCACATGTGTCGTGTGCACTGGGGCTTAACAAAGCCACCCGAGGCACCACAGGTGATGTGAACTTCCGCACTCGGGCTCTCGTGCCCGGGCCAGGCTCTGCCTTGTCCTGATAGGACACAGGTGTGGACATAGGAAGGCTGACTAAATCTGGCCAGGTTCAGGAGGTATTGGATTTGGAAAATTTGTCATGGGCTATCTTTCCAACCAGTGTAATTCTCCTCAACAGGAAAGGCAAATCTATGGAGATTTGGCAGGGGATGCGGGAGGGGGGCGAGCAGAATCGCCAGCTCCCTGTCCATATGCTTTTGATTTTCTGAAGTAAATATAAGCAGTATATGAGTGACTTTTCTCACCCCCCTTCTTCCATTATCTTCCCAATACCAGTGTCTATGTCTAGAGGCAATATTCTACTTCCAAACACTCTTTTGGTCACTACCCACAGTTAGAATACATTTTTTTTACACCATGACCTTGAAATATGCACACTCCCACATACACACAATGGAAATTTGGTGAAGCAGGACTTCATTTTATGATGTGAAATGTTCTTTGCTGGTATTTGTGTTTCTATTTTAGACTATGCTATTTTTTTTTTTTTGAAACGCCATTATTTGAGCTCCTAAATTGATTTAATGTCATGACTTACGATTTGAAAAAGAAAAAAATAACATTGACTTAAGCAGGGAGTTAGATTTGGCAGTGTTCTGCCTGCACGAAGTTAACAACATAACCAACTGGCCTGAGAGATACTCACTGAGGAATGAAAATGTCTGATTTAGCTAACTGGAAACGTTCAGCTGGTAGGTCCAGCCAGCTCTCCAGCATCACTTTGGGCCACACGGGCACTTCCGCTTTAGAGGCCGAATGGCCCAGGAATCCAGATACCTACCCTGTGAGTCCTCACTCTTACTCTTGGGTGATGTTTCTCCATAGCCCTCAGCAATGCGCTCCACTCCCTGGACGGGGCTACATCGCGCGGGGATTTTGTGGCCTTGTTGGACCAGTTTGGCAACCATTACATCCAGGAAGCTATCTATGGCTTTGAGGAATCCTGTTCCATCTGGTACCCAAACAAGCAGGTGCAGCGGCGACTCTGGCTGGAATATGAGGACATCAGCAAAGGTGAGTGTTGAGCTCGTCAGCAGATTCTACACCCCATACAGGTATGGTTGTCTAGGTGCGAATCATGGGACCAAACTAAAGGAGTCTGTTGGTGAAGGACTAATTCAGATGTCGCCTCAATGTTCTGTGCCCATCCTTAAAATTGCCAAGGTTGGAGTGTTTGGGGAAACTTTAGATACAGGATGGGGTCAAAAGTGTATGGTCACTGTGTTAGTTATCATGGACAGAGTCCTCTAAAAGTTTTTACCAGTCCCCATGCATTCTGCTCTCATAGCAAGGGCAAAGAGTTCGACTGTTCTTATGGAACAGGGGAGAAGCAGGAGAGTGTCACAGTCTGCCCCGCTATGTCCTACCTCCGCCCTCCCTGGCTGGCAACCCCTTCCAATAACCACAGAGCAAACCTCTTCTCACTCTATCCTGTGTTTAGGCCCATTTTTTGCCCCACTGATTTGTGCTAAGAGGAAATCTCCATAGGCTCAAGTGTTTATACAGCTCTGGATAACAGCCTTACAAATAAATCTTTGTCCACTGTTGGATAGCAAGTTAGTATTCAGTCCAAATAAGTATAAGAAATTGGAATTACTCAAACCTTCTGAATTCACCTTCTGGTATGGGAGGAGTACTGGCTGGCAAATATGTATTCTGATCAACCAAGACTGATGTAGAATTGCCATTCATGGAATTTCTTCTGAGCTTACCCTCATGGCATTCTGATGAGGCCAAGTTATGGTTGTGTGAGTTGCTAAAGGGCAAGCAATGAAATTAGTGCAATGGAAACTCAAGAAGTAGGTCATCCTAAGATTTAATGATCAGGAGTCCCTCTGCAATGAGGGACCTTCTGTGTCAGCAATGCTGCGGTGGAAAATTTGCCCCCATGCCTGAGATGCTCTTGACTCTCTGAGCTCCATACAAATTTCTGTTTTGTCTTGCTCAAGAGGTAGCAGAGGCACGAGGCCCTCTCTCACGGCAGGGCATTTCCTTCCAGAAGAAGCAAGAGGCTTGTGTCTGGGCTCCAGTTGTTGCAGGCATTTCCCTCCAAGCCCTGATTCCCCTAAACTCAAAGACACAATCACAGGCTTCTAGTATCCTTTCAAACTTCCATCTCTGAAAATTCTGTTCTGATTCCAATTTGCCAAGAAAGGAGTGTCATGTAAGCAAATGTAGATAAGGCCAGTTCCAGCTGGCAAAGCTTTCTTACATTTCTATGCCAGAGCTTAGTGATTGAATCAAAAGGCTAATTCCTCCCCTGTTTCTGTTTGCCAGTGGTTCAAGGATGGCCGGGTTCTGGGACTGCTGGGACTGCTGGGACTGCTGGGAAGTCTGACCTTCCCCGGAACCCTTGGTTCTATCCCTTGCTTCTATCCCGAGGGTTGCGGTATCCTTGAAGTTCAACACTGAGCCCAGGAGGGAGATATATCCATGACCTTGGCACTGTGCCCTCTCCACGTTGATCTCAAGCCATTCTTACCAAGGAGGAGTTCATTTTGTCACACTCCCACTGGTGACTTTAGTTCTCCTAAGTATTCTGTATACAACCCCTTGCCTGTTACTGATCTTAGAAGATACTTGAACATTTTAATATGTCTATTTAGATCTCTCTCCGTTGTCCATGTATACCACCAGCCCCCTCCCAGATCTTACTCTGCGTCACATAGAGTTTATTTATTTATTTTATTGTTTGGTCTGCTTAGTACTCTTAAATGGTTTTCTCCTCCCTAGGTGCTAATTTCCTTTTCTTCCAAAAGCATGAAGTATGCTACTGATGAAGACTTATAAATACATAAAACAGAGGAAGATTTTCTTCCACTTTTCTGCACTCTGAGAGGATTGCTCCAGAATGGGATTTATACACTAGTGGTGGCAACATGACATAAAAGTGACATCTTGTTGGACTCGAGTCCTTTGATGATATGTTCTTGCCTGCTCTTTCAAAACCTTCTAGTGAAAAGGGTTCCTTTGTTGTTTATTTTTGCACCTAAAATTGCTCACAGATTGAATAGGAAAGGAAGCTTGTTAGGGGTGAAATGAAGTAGAAAATACCCAGGACTTACAGGTTGGGTCTCTTGGCATTGGTCGGGTGACTTTTGCTTAGTTCACTGTCGGGACCTCATCTGTAATGCCTTCTGTGGTTCCTTCCAGCTCTGATAGTTTGTGAGCCCCTCTTTATGTGAGCACCTTTCTCAGGCACTAGAGCCAAGATTGTCCTCTTCCTCCACAAGTCACTACAAAATCTCTCAAAGGTAGGTTCCATGCCTTCCTCAACTTTAACTTAGCAGGATCCGACACAGAGCGGAGCACATGGTAAGCCCCCAACAGGTGTTTATTGTGGTCATTGGTGGTGGTGGGAGCAGGGGTGGTGGCAGCTGTGGGAATTGTAGGAAAAGCCCTTCTGATGCGGCAACTTGCCAAGTGGGTTTGATTACAGACATGCAGAGTGCTCTAGTTCTGCCTGACTGATGAACACTCACAGATGGATATTTTTGGCCAGATACTCAGAAGGCAGCCTTCCATCCATCATGCACTTAGTTGTCATACTACCACTATATGGTTTGGCCATACCAACATTTAGGAACATCTGTCTTTCAGTAAGTCTGACTGAAGCCTATGAAAAATAAACTTCCACTTCCATTGCTTAAGATTAGCCTCTCCTGGGCGCCTGGGTGGCTCAGTTGGTTAAGCGATTGCCTTCGGCTCAGGTCAAGATCCTGGAGTCCCGGGATCGAGTCCCGCATCAGGCTCCCTGCTCGGCAGGGAGTCTGCTTCTCCCGCTGACCCTCCTCCCTCTCATGCTCTCTGTCTCTCATTCTCTCTCTCGCAAATAAATAAAATCTTAAAAAAAAAAAAAGATTAGCCTCTCCTATTTTTTTTTTTTTTACAGAGCAAATAAGGACTATCAGAACTGAAATTTTCCAACCTCCCCTCTCTCCACTGCTAACCTGACTTTTATCTGCTCTCATTGTTCTTTGCCCTCCTGCCTCAGAAAATGTAGTGAGTTCCTTCCTCTTCAGGCTAAACTCACCTGTACGGCAGCCTCTATCCCTGTCTGCTTCCTCTTGGACCCCACTCATTCAATAGTGTCTTCATCTTTCACCTTTACAACCCTTCAACCACTTGAATTGTCCCTCTGCCAACCTTCTGTCTTCCCCCCAAATAGTAGTTTTATAAACATGCAACTCTTTTACCACTGTTTCCTTTCAACATATTACCAACCAAACTTCCTGAGCGAGTAGTTTATGCATCTTTTCTCTACTTCCTCAACTTCTTTTCACTCTTCAAATTATTATTATTTGCTTTCAACTCCTTCCATTCTACAGAAATAGCTCTGGAGATGGAAATCAAGGGCTTCCTAGTCAGAGATTCACTTTTCCATTCAGTGATCATTTTATCTATGTCAGCTGAAGAATTCGTCCCTCTTGACCAGGTCTGCCTTTTCAAAAATTCTCTCTTCCCTTGATGTCTCCGATTCTATTCTCTCCAGATTCTCTTCATAAATCTTTGGCCTTTATTTCTCATTCCTTTTTCCCCTTATTCCTCTAAAGAAATCATTTACATTTTGCTCATTTTCCAGAATTTCATCTGTAATGTTCAGCTCTTCTTCACTGTTGCTGGGGGATTCTCTACTATGTCCACCTCAACCTTTATCTCTAATCCTTCCCTTGAGACTCAAGACCTCATTTTCCCTTGAGTGTTGAGCATTTCTACCTGGATATTCTGCAGGGACGTCAGTGGTCTCCATCTTTTTTCTCTGTATCCACTAGTGGATTTTTCCACTACGTTGAGGGGTCACCGCACAAAATGAGGAGTTCCTTCTAGATGCTCTCCTCCCTCCATCCTCCACATTCACTCATTTACAACATGCTGTTCTTTCTACCACCTAAATACTTCTCCAACAGGTGTCTTCTCCTGTCCATTTCCCAAAGTTGTATGAGTTTACAGTATCAGCTCTCATAAGAACTGAAACTGCTTCCTCACGTGTCTCCTTTTCTTCGGTTTCCTGCCATTCTAGTCTATTCTGCATTACAGTTATCTTCTTACAATGCCACTTAATCATATGACTCCTCAACTCGAAGCCCTTCACTAAGTCCCTCCACCTTCCCAACATGAGCGTGACCTTGCTTCCTGTGTTGGTTTCGTAGGGCTGCTGTAACAAACCGCCACGAACTGGGTGGCTTTAAAAGATATAAATGTATTCCCTGACTCTTCTGGGGGGCAGAGGTTCAAACCCAGTTTCAGTGGGCTAAACTCAAGGGGTCAGTAAGCTGGCTCCTTTTGGAGGCTCTAGGAGAGAATCCCTTCCTTGCCCCTTCCAGCTTCTCAAAGCCACCTGGGTTCCTTGGTTTGTGGCCATCTCCTCCATCTTTAAGGTGCATCACTGATCTCTGAGTCACCCAGCTGTCTGCCAGGACTCTTTCTTATAAGGACCCTTGGGACTACACTGGGCCCACCCAGATAATCCAGGATAATCTCTCCATCTCAGGAGTCTTCATTTAAACATACCAGGAAAGTCCCTTTTGCCATTTACAGGTGACATTCACAGGTTCCAGAGATCAGGCCCTGGGCATCTTTGGGAGCCATTATTCAGCCTGCCAAGCATCCTCCACTCTGATGCGAGGTGGCTTGCTCTCAATCCCAAGCCCCTGCATTCGCTTGCAGACATTGGAAGGCCTCAGGGCCTCCCTCCCTGCCCCAGTCTAAGGCCGTAGATATGCTCTAGTCTCCACCACTAAGCTTCTGTCTCACGCAGAAATGGACTCTTAGGTCCCAGTCTTGTCTCCTCATGGGGTTCTCTGTTTTTCTCCTTTCTTAGGTGTCTGTTCAGTTGCCTACTGTCTGGGAGGAGTTCCCTCTCTTCTTAGCTCCTTAGAATCAGCAAGTTAGTCTTCCTGGCTGTGATTACCATTTGCAATTAAGTGATACCCTGTCCCAGTGTCAGGCCCCAGGCCTGGGTCCAGGGTCAAGGTTTGGAAGAGGTTTTGATCCTTTGCCACACCCCGGACCCT